TGTCACCGTTGCTTGCTGCAAGAGATGCCCTTGCTACATAATGAGCAGAGGAAACAGACCGCCATCCCCAAGGGTACAGGAAAGCCAAGCAACATGCAAGTTAAAGGGAGCTGATATCAGAGGAACAGGTACAGGGAAGCAGCTCTCTCACCTAGAGGGAACTGGAATGTGGGAGAGGAAAAGGAGAGATTAGTCTACCCCCCCTCCCAAGTCTTTAATTTAGTTCCCTAATTAGTTTTTTCATCTAAGCAAGGGCAGTATAGGCCAGCAAGTCTGTGAAATCCCTGCTGGGAGTGGGAGGTGAATCTATATATAAATGAAGATGCCATGCACACTTACTTTAAGAACTTCTTCTTTGCATTAGTGGTAGTTTCACACATTTGAACAAAATTAGCAGCACATACCCAGTAACTTTAGCTGTGGGGATTTTTGCCTTTTGGAAAAGTATTTATAATTTTTTTTTAAACAAACCCCTATTTCAGTACACAACTGTTTACAGTGTAAGTGTCTAACCTGTAAAACTCAATACCGTCTTACTGAAGGACAAGTATAAAATAACTGAAGACTAACTTACATTGTACACGAGGCAGACAAGAATTTATAATGACAGCTGTAAAGTTTCTTAACATCATGTGCCAACAGTTTGATTTACCTACGCAACTCAAGTAGACAGATGTTTATCCATAGCAAACATTGACTTGAACACTCGACACTTTAAAGAGTTAAGCGCATTGCTACTCTTGTAAAATTATCAGATCACCTTTTAGTGCTGGTTATCTGGCTTCCATTCCTTCTTGGTTTCTCAGCCTTTACCATTCTCCTGCCTTTCCTCCTCCCATTTGATGTAGTGGTCATCCATATTCTTCATTTTCATTAGCTGAAGTTGGTCCTGCAATCTTTATTTTATTGGGAAGGAGGGATGGAAAGAGAGGAAGGAGCAAGGAGGGTTTAATTACACCTTGGCCTCATCTCTTACATGTTGTAATCTGGTTCTTAAAGAGGTGTTTTGGGGTGGTTTTTGTTTTTACTGCTGATACTAAATAGGTCTACACATACTTGAGCTAAAATGGTGTAAAGTGATGAACACCATCATCTGATAAACTTACTTGTCCGGTCTCCTTTAAAACACTTGGAGTAGGAGGCTTTATAGACTAAAGAAAGCCATTCCTCCACAACAAAGCTACCACAAATTGTAACATTCCATCTTATCACATGACAAAAATGCACTTTTAGGAGTACCACTAAGGAACAGTAGATCAGTGACAATATACATAGTTCACAGTATCTTGCCTTAAGAGTGCCCTAAACATTGAACTCTCTCAAATATTCATACCTTTACACCTAATCCATTTTTAATATAAAGACATTTATGCTAAGGGGAAAGAGTTTAGTGCATATGAAAACTTGGTATGAAAAACTGGCTTAAATTAAGCCTAATACAGGCTGCTGTGCCAGTTTCCACTCATCTCTGCCAGGGCACATCCGTTTAGACTGACTACTAATTTCAGTCTGAAGCAGAGGTTTCCCACAGGTGGATTTTAATACACAAAAATAGCCACAAGGCTAAGACTGAACAAAACCTTTTTGGTTTGTGAAGTAAGGAAAAAATTTACTCCAAATTTCCCACAGTGGAAAAAGTATAATACACTCATTTCTCCTTAGGTCTACAGCTTCTGTAGTATACTGGGCATAGTGAGCTAGATTGTCAATTGCTGCTGTGGAGAGGACAAACGTAGTATGCAAAAATTAAGCCAAATTTCTACTTTTAAGACTGCCAACAACTACCACTGAACAATAACTTTTACTGTGTAGTAGGGGTCATTGCGTGCACAGAGAATACAACTGACTAATGGGTTGACCATATCATACATATTTACAAGTAAAGTGAACATACATTCAAGTTGAAGGGAGTACACATGTGACAACAAGATACATACAAACACCAGAGGGACCCTTAATGTTTCCCTTCTGGACTAATACAGAACTTTTCAGTGGGAAAACAGGTCATCAGCATAGTTAATACAAACAAGTGTTAGGGCTGAGAAGAGAAACGCTTATATTTTGTTCTATGTTCATCTATTTCTTGCTTTGTTTTTCTGATACAACTAAAAATTTCCTTAAAGAGAGCTTTATATTCAGGTATAGCATTTGTGGGTGAGCCCGTTAGCTCAATATTTCCATGCTCTTGATCAGTAGCTGAACGGTCAGACTGGATGTTCCCCACACTAGTGTCTTTGGAATACGGTTTTGAGGTTTGTACAGCCTTATGTTTCAAAGAATCTTCATCCATTTGACACTTCTTCAGAAGTTCCTCGTACTTAACCTTCAGAGCATTATACTGAGCGTCCACTTCATTAAGCAAGGAGATGCCTCGCTGCTTCACAGCTTCAGCTCTTCTAATACAGGTTTCTTCATGGCCCTTTAGAAGGTCTCCTCCTGCAGCACTGCTTAGGAAGGTCTCACTGTTGCTTCTTTTTAGGGCCCTTTTATCAAGCTGGGGGACAGTCAAGGATGCATCCTCTGAAGGGCTTTGATTAATTTCCCTTTCTAAAGACTCTTTAAATGAAATAAAAAATGATTCTGGAACTAGATTCTCCATGCTGTTGACAAATGTGTTTTCAGACTGAAACATCTGCCGCATTTCAGCCACTTCTAATTCAAGCTCTTCTGCCCGAGCCCGGTATAAGTCTTTATCAACCAGCCTCTGTTCAAGGTCACAGTTCTCCTTTACCATAAGTTGATATTCCTCTTCCATAGTCACTCTTTTCTCCTTTTCCAGATTAAGTTGGGCTTGTAATACAGTCAAAGCCTTTTTTAAGTTCTCATTTTCTTCTTCTATGGGACTCAGCTGACTATCCATTGAAGTAATTTTTTCTGCAAAAATATGATCGTAAACAAAATACCTGCAGAAACAAAAAGTGTCAGAGCTTAGATTTCCTATGAAAAAAAAAATTTGTTAGTCTCTAAGGTGCCACAGTACTCCTGTTCTTTTTATGATTTTTAGGCTGCCTCTTCTGGATAATACAGAGATTGAATTTAAACTCACTGTTGGAAAAAAAAGGGTTTCCAAACAGAACCAGGTTGGTCATTAAGGTATCTATTTGTACAAAGTTACAATGCCTCAATAATCAAACAGAATGCTTTTCTACAGGGCTTTAGTAAATTCAGTACCCAGTGATGTATGGTTCCCAGTTCAGGTGGTGTGGCAACTGCTTAATTGCAATATCAAATTGTAGATCTAAAATCTACTGTACATGGAGACCTCTAACCAGAATTCTTGAGATTTTTTTTTAGAGTATTTCTTTGAGGCCACAAGATATAGTTTTCTACAGGACATTCCTAGTACTGGAAGAAGATAGACTGCATGATAATCCAATACATTTTCCCCATTTTTAACTTGTACAATTCTCATAATGAAATGGATCTGCAAACTATAAGATATCCATACCCTGCAGTTTAAAAGTCTCAGAATTTCCATTATGAAACCTTAATGAATGCCCAGAATGGTCATAAAAATCCACTGTCAGAAATCTGACAAAGTTTCATACAAGCATGTTTTGTAATTCTAATTTTTAAAACAAAATCACCTCTTGAATATGCACTATAGAAGTGTCAATATTAAAGCTTAAAAGTAGGCTTGTGAAGACTGCTTTGGTCTTAACTCATTTGTCTGGAGTGACACTGACAGATTTTTTTAGAAATGCACGTCTGATTTCTCTGCTCTGCTACAAACGGATGAAAGATTAAAAAATCTGCTTGCACAATAAAATGACATATCATTGAGTTAGTGTCTTACTTGCGAAGGTCATACAGCTCCTTCAAACATGAGAAGCTGTGCACTGATCGTGGCTGCTCAGATCGCTCATGGTTCATATGACCTCGTCCAGATTTCTTCAATTCCTCCACTTGTCTCTGAAGGTCATCTATATGGGTTTGCAGACCTTCAATAGTCTCTGTCAGGCTGAAGTTCATGAACATATAAAGCTGTTAACATGACTGGCTTTAAGTCAAGGGCATGACCAATAGCATGAGCTCAGTCACTATTCACTCAGTTTTGTGCTTCTTCCTCTGGAAACTGCTCCACAGTTACCAGTAACAAACAAAAAATCACATAACCCAAAAGCCCAGTGATTAGACAACTGGATAACCAGCCACCCAAAAATGCATAAACTAATGCAGTCAGACTAGTATTCCATTCTAATTCCTCTATATATATAAAAAAAGTTGCTCCACAAAACTTTAGTTACCTTAATATCTTTTGTTGTGACACCCTACTATCCACAACTAGTTTTTGATTAGCATCTTCCAGTTCTCTTGCTGTAACATCCAGCTGTTCATAAACCTTTGCATGCTGGTCATTCATCTGACGTAAGAGCTCCACTTGCTTTGTAAGGTACTAGAAGATAATTTGCAGTTACCATCTTCACACTGCTAAAAATGTTTAATCCTACTTAGTGTAAGTTTTAACTTTAAATTCTTAAATCAGGATTTTCAGTTTGTTTCCCATAAATGTCACGAATAATACAATGTACATTAGTTTTGATTGCAGAACCGTGGAAAGACATTGTACCCTTAAATAGCTCAGGAGTGTTTTCCACAAATGAGCCCACCAGCCCTTTTAAATCTCAGAGTAAATAGCAAGACACCATGTCACATGTGGTTTCCTTAAATTAGAATAAGGATGATTTAAATTACAACTTCCAGTTTGTAATTATGCAATTTACCAGCTGCAACACTGGGGTTATACTTTGCATGGGCAAACCCTTTCAAATCAGAATAAAGTTCTCAGTGCATGAAGCTGCCTTAAGTTTAAGGAAACTGATTTTAGTTTAGTCTTAAAACTGTAAACTGATGATATTTGGGTTACTATTTATCAGGAAGTACAAATTAGAACAAACTTTAATTACCCACAAGGGGCATTCTAGTTTATATAATCCCAATCAAAGGTCTCCTGCTTTTTTTAATTCTGTATGAAATGTTCTCAGTGTAATCCTCTTTATTCAAGAAACTTAGCAGGTTGTTTATTTTGTAGTGGTGAAACTGCTTTTAGAAAGCCTAGGATAAAGATTTCCTACGTAAGAGTAATAAACCATCTTTAAATCCCTTGATATTAGAAACACCTTAGGCTTTCCCACAGCTGAACACGTCTATATGGATTTTACTACACACAAATACTTAAAAGTTCCAGGTATCCTGCATACAAATATGCATTAAGTCATTCCTGGACCAGAAATACCACAGACTTGTAGGACTGGAAGGGACCTCAGAAGGTCATCTAGTTCAATCCCCTGCACTCACTGCAGGACTAAGTATTATCTAGACCATCCCTGACAGGTGTTTGCCTAACCTGCTCTTAAAAATCTCCAGTGATGGAGATTCCACAACCTCCCTAGGCAATTTATTCCAGTGCTTAACTACCCAACAGGAAGTTTTTCCTAATGTCCAACCTAAACTGCCCTTACATAAGAACGGTCCTACTGGGTCAGACCAAAGGTCCATCTAGCCCAGTATCCTGTCTTCTAACAGTGGCCAATGCCAGGTGCCCCAGAGGGAATGACCAGAACAGGTAATCATCAAGTGATCCATCCCCTGTTGCTCATTCCCAGCTTCCTGCAAACAGAGGCTAGGGACACCATTCCTGCCCATCCTGGCTAATAGCCATTGATGGACCTATCCTCCATGAATTTATCTACCGGTAATTCTTTTTTGAACCCTGTTATGGTCTTGGACATCACAACATCCTCTGGCAAAGAAGAGTTAACCAAGATGCACACATGTATATTGTCAACTAAGTGATCAGGCAACAAAATGGCAAATGAAATTTAATGTGGATAAAGTAATGCACATTGGAAAAAATAACCCCAACTATACATACAATATGATGGGGGCTAATTTAGCTACAACAAGTCAGGAAAAAGATCTTGGAGTCATCGTGGATAGTTCTCTGAAAATGTTCACGCAGTATGCAGAGGTGGTCAAAAAAGCAAACAGGATGTTAGGAATCATTAAAAAGGGGATAGAGAATAAGACTGAGAATATATTATTGCCCTTATATAAATCAATGGTATGCCCTCATCTCGAATACTGTGTACAGATGTGTTCGCCTCATCTCAAAAAAGATATACT